TATAAAAACATGAATTCAGTTTCAGGTTTTGACAGATTTGTAAAATATTTGTTTCCTTCTCTTTGTTTTTACGACAGGTGAGCTAATGAATTTGTTAAGCAGTGTAAAACACATGAGGATTTCACCTCTCAAGTACTGCGAATAATGTTTCATATTAGGCCTCTTTAAAGTTTAATTGGCCAAGTAATGAAACCGCAACACTAAAGTGCGGATTCATTAATAGCAGATATAAGTTTTAAAATGTGCGTGCAGTTTTAGTGTAATTGTAACTTTTCCCAGTTCTGATAGTCAGTCACATCTTTGACAACTTTCATGTTCTGAACTGCAGGTATCAAACCTGTCTTACTTTCACTTATGGATGTCATGATTAATTAACTTTTCCCTTAAGTAGTAAGTGAAAATCATATGTACTTAATGCTACTTATGCATATTACTTGACTCAGTGTACTTAGTTACTTCCCTGAATCACAAGTGAACCAACACCTATGACTAACACATGAATAATAGACGACAAAATAAAATTTGATGAACTTAATAGCTCCTCATTAAAATCTTGTAACTTGCTGATCCCTTATAAGATTATTATTAGTTTGTGTAATGTTAGCTGCAATTTAAGTATAGATCATTCCACAAATCCACAAATCCACAAATCTGCTTTGGGATGGAATTTATTCAGAAATTCAATGGATGTATCAAAAAAAATGGTGATAAGCAAATATATGTTTAATACAAATTGAGTTTCACTAAAAGTTCCCTGTTTGTACATTTAATTGGATTCACCATGTCGTAATCATGTGACAGAGTGACAGATTGCTCAACCAGACAAACATGATGTTGTCAGAAATGCTGTCCTCACTACAACCGTGGTTAGTTTTTAGAGTTTATATACTCAGTATAAAACAGTCAAAAGTTTTAGAACACCCCAGTTTTTCAGGTTTTTTTATTGAAAATTGTGCAGTTTTAATGTCTCATTGGATTCTGAAATAAAAGCATAATACAAATAAGTAGTTGGAGTTAAAAAAGAAATCAGAGAATCATTTATATACCAAAATGTATTCTAAACCTTTGACACATCAGAGTAGAAAACCTGGTGGCAGATATAACAGCTGAGCACATCCTTGGCATTCTTTCTTCAATCTCGGCATGTTTGTAGCAACACACTAGTTTCTGCTGTAAAGTACTGTTCAACTGATGCTCACTCGGGTACGGTACCACACAGGGGGTTCCAACACTGCTTTTATACAGACAGAGGGGGTTGTTAGTAATCCAGTAGCACCAGCTTTCAAGGCTTGATCAACCTCCATTGCCGTAGAACAGCTTTAAATTGTGAACCCAGACTTTTTTTGCTAGGCCCTGCCTTTGTTTTTACAGTAAAATCTTCTTATTGGAAGCATATTTGGCGATGCTTCACCTTCTGCTTTGCATTTGTGTGGGAGCCCCGTCAAAAACCTGTCTATTATGCGAGCAGTGTCCAAGCATTCCTTTTTCTTTCTTTTCTTTTTTTAAATTCATGACCCGTAGTGTATAAGTTAAAAAAAAAAATACCAACTTTCTCTTATGCTGAAAAAATGGCTGCTATGCTAACATAATTACAAATTATGTTTGCAATTATTAGAAATATTGTTTTGCTTCTATTTTTTCTATAATTCTGTCTTCTGAATAATAGAATACATAGACAGCTTCACTGTGAAGAAACCATTACATGTGTGACTTAAGTCCTTTCCGTTCAGGTACCTGACAAAAACTTCCTGCAGGAATTTTAAGATCAGTCATACAGAAAGATATTTGCAAACACTGATGCAGTTCCATTTTCACCTACAGTCACTACTTGCACTGTAGGTAAAAAATAAAGGCACATAATAATCCATAAACTACAATTAAACGTTTTATTCTGTGAGATTAAGTGTCATGTATATAATTGGCTTCCTGTTTGCAAGATGCTTCTACGTCTTACTGAGAAAACACATTTGTACATGTACATTTGCAATCAAACCTTCCTAAACCTAAATTTTCAGTTGTAGGATAAATTTAGTCTACAGGAGTAAGCAAAGTCAAGGTAACCTTTTATGATATAAGTGTCTCTATGTCTTAGACTTAGTGGAAGAGCTGGATGGCATCCTAAACAGTCTGCTGCCGGACAACATCCAGGTGTGGGCAATGAGGAGCTGGACCAAACACACGGAGGTGCACTCTCTGCTGGATAAGCTTGAATCTGCATC